TCCACCACGGTTTCCGAAGATCCCACCACCGGCGCCCCCGTCAGTCTTGGAGCCATCCGTGTACCAGACGTCCCCATTCCTAACAGCGGGCACCTCGTGCCTCTCCCACTCCTCACGACTAGGCAGATAGATTTTGAACGATCTATCGAAGTCGCGCCTTCTTGACATCCTGTCTTGCCGCATTTCCAACACGGTTTCCATCTGATTTCTCCCGTGGTATCCGGGTGTGACCCACCCCGATCGTCCATTTGCCCTCACACATCAACCTGTACGCAGTGGCCGCCGCTGCCGCCACTATCACAAGATGGAGTGGTTCGATGCCGAACAGCACTCCCATTACTGCCACCGGCGTTGTCCTCATTGCTCCCAGGGCCTCTCTTAGAATAAGAGCCCTGACGCGTTCCAGCGATGCTCGAGTTTCCGCTAGCTGTATCCTTGGCCACCAGACCACAGCAGCATAGAGCAGCTATCGTGGCCGGAGCACCGCTGAGTATAGCCAAAGCACCCTATCCGTCTGAAGTCCCCAGATTTGTCCAAAGGTTCTTCAGCACAGCCAGAAATATGTGCAGGTCTTCCTGCACACCGCCTCCAGGTGCAGCTTCCAAGTCAGTCTTTTATGCAGGATAACTCCTAGATACTTGACTGACGTCTCGGGAATCAGTCTGACCCCTTCCAAAACGGACCCCTTCACGGAGCCCACTTTGTACTTGTGGGTGAAAATTACCAGACTTGTCTTATTCGGATTAACCGACAGACCCGTCCTTTTACACCATTCTTCCACCCCTAGAGCCTCTTGTGTGAGCTCAAGGATCGTTTCTAGGAAAGGGCCTCCTATCAGAATCGCTAAATCATCAGCGTACCCAATTGTCTCCAAGCCCTTGCCATTAAGCTCTTCAAGCAGCCTATCCTCTACTAAGCACCACAGGAGTGGTGAGAGGACTCCCCCTTAGGGACGGCCTCTCCCCACCCATCCTTCTACACTCACCGTACCCAGTGATGTCGTCACTTGACGTCCAAGCATTCCCCGGATCCACTTCATGAGCTTCACCGGTACGCCCCGCCTTGCTGCCTCAGCACAGACTACCTCATGTGGAGTGTTGTTGAAGGCCCCCTCAATATCCAGGAAAGTGCCTACCAGAAATCCTCCTTGCTGGAGCTGCTTTTCAACCTTATAGACAACCGAGTGGAGAGTCGATATACTCGAGTGGCCAGCCCGATAGGCGTGCTGCTCGACATGCAACGGATACTGAACCAGCACACAATCCCTGATGTATACGTCGACCAGCTTTTCCAATGTCTTAAGAAAGAACGAGGTCAAGCTGATCGGTTGAAGTCCTTTGCAATGACATAATTAACTCGCCCCACCTTGGGGATAAAGACGACTCTCGCCTTTCTCCACGCCTGGGGGGTGTACCCAAGGGCCAGACAGGCTCTCATCACCCTTGTGAGGGGCCCGATCACTTGCTTCAGCCCTCTCTGAAAGAGAGCCGGGAACACAAGGTCGGGCCGACTTGAATGGTCGGAAAGATCCAATCGCCCATCTGATTTTGGTTGGCCTCACAATCTCGGCCGCTAATTTTTAATCGTTGGCACATGCCCTAAAGCAGCCCGTGTCAACTTCCCAGCACTATCCATCACCCCTCTGGAAACCAGGAAAGTTAGTCTCCAGAAGGTGCACCAGGCATCTCTCTCCGGATGCCATGGAGCCGTCCAACACTCGGACTGCTTCCAACGCTGCCTCCGGGTTTTTGGATAGGAATCTACAAAGCCTGGCGATATTCCCTCCACCGACACGCAGAAATCCCTTCAGCTTTTCTTCTTCGCCTCCACTGCAAAATCTCTGTATTCCTTCTGGGTTTTCCTGTACAGATCCTAGTCGGAGGGCCGGCCTGTGTTCCTCGCTTTGTTCCAGACCCTTCGAGCCTTGACCCTGAGATTCTGCAGTCGTGGATTCCACCAGGGAATTCCTCTATTGTTGGTGACCGTCCTGGCCGGGCAGTTCGCCTCATAGGAGCCAATCAGAGCCCTTTGTAGATATTCCACACAGAGCTCCAGCTCCTTCACCGTGCCATACCTCTTGGGGAAATCCCTGCGATTTATTCTCAGGTCCCTCTGATAGGAGTCCCAGTTCATCCTCTTTGGATACCTCACCTTCTTAACCTTCACATTGAGACCTGAAAGTCTAAAGGTTATTAGCCTGTGGTCGGAGAGGGAGGGCTCATCCGACACCTTGCATTCCCTCACCTTTCGCACGGATTCACGTGAGCAGAGAGTGAGATCTAACACCTCACTTCTCCCCGCCGGGCAAAAGGTGGATTTATTACCTCTGTTCAGAACTTCCAGGTCAGTAGTTACTAGGTACTGGGTGATACCCAGTTGGACACGGCTCAATTGGACACGAGCCATTCATAGCGCTTGAAACTACAAAGCTCCTAAGCACCGGTCGCTGTGATTGGTAGTGTCCAATAGAGCCGTGATCAATCGGGATCACACCCTAGGTACTCTAGCAACTTCCTTCCCCTTTCATTCGTGTCGGTGTTTCCCCATATGGTGTTGTGCGCATTGGCATCGAATCTCATCAGCAATGGCAGTCCTTCCCTCTGGCAGAGGTCCACCAACCTGATCAGCTCCGGTGGCGGCACCCCTTCTCTGTGCTGAAAGTAGGCCAAGCAGATGACGAGCCTCCTGGTGTCTCCAGCACTACCAGCCGCCATCACTTCCACCGCCGTCAGATCCCTGGAACACACTTCAGGCAGGAACCGTGCATCCAGCCGCTTAACCGTTATGAACGCCCTAAGTTTCTGCTCGGGGGGAGCTTTAAAAAGCTTCCCGCATGCTGAGACCCCCTTGACACATCCACAGACAACCCATGGTTCTTGTTTCAAGGAAATGGCTGTGTGCATCACAGACTGGCGCCAGGCTAGAACCGCCGAGGCCCCTTTGCTGTGATGCAGGTTAATTTGTGTAACCTCTATCACCGACCAGCCCATTATACGAGCAAATCTTTGGATCGAGGCTCCTCCTTGCCCGCCCCCTCACTATGAGATCGAGCCACCTTAACGGTGATCTGCTCGATCCCATAGCATAGCTTGGAGTCCCGCTCCCTCAACTTGAGAACGCTGGACTCCAAGATGCCGAAAACGTAATTCCTCCCTTCAAGGGAAGCGCTTATGTTTTCGGCAAAGACGCGCCAAGTCAGAGCACCGATGTCCGGATTTTGCCTCTCCAGCAGCGCCAGGACAGCAGCCGCGGGCTTCGGAGGACACGGAACCCAGACCATCGCCCTGTGTCGCCTTTAAAGCTCATCCAAGCCTACCACTCTGAGCTTGGTGCCCTCCCACGGCACGATGCCCCCCACCCGGCCTTCCAGCCAGTTAAGGGACGCCGCGTCCTCTGATGATGACTGCCCCGTTCTTGAGGGTAGCCGGTCCCACAAATCTGTGTAGGGAATCCTCCTGGATCCCATCCATCTCCGCCAGGACCGCTCCTCGAAACAAGGTTAGCTGCTCCGGAGTGATCCTCTTCTAAGGGTACCCCTCCAGAATAACCGCCCTTGCAAACAGGTCAGCCATCGTTGCGAAGTGGATGGTTAAAAAGCCTAGGCCCAGTTGCCTTAGCCCTAGGCTTTTTAACCATCCTCTTAACCTAGGGGGGGGGGAGGTGGTCAGAGCTCGCGCGGCACTCTTTACCGATGAGCCCTGTTACCTCCTCCACCGGCGTAGTAAGGGCCGACGAGGGACCCGGAGGCTGCCCTTCAAGAGCCTTCTGCTTGTCCCTCTTCGCCCGTCTCTTCTGGGCTCTACTGCGGTTCCTCTTATGAGGCGCCCTCACATCCGCATTGCTCCCGTTTCTTTCCGAGTCCAAAGGGGCCCGTTCCAAAACAGGAGCCATCTCCACCTCCACAGCAGCGACCACCTCGCTTTCCGAGCACTCGCAGGCCCGTACTTGCGCCGTGGTCGCCGCCACCTCCGCTGAGTGCCCTTTCGGGCCCGCGGTTATCTCGTCTTCATTTATTTTAAGTGTGTCTTAATCTATCCATACACATCCACGAGCAGCTAGAGAACGACAAGATACGCCCACGTAGAGCCCCGCATGCGTGGATAAGGCTAGATACTCTGGCGTTTCGCCCGGTGCCTCAGAGGCATCGATCACGACACTGCTCCAACAGATCCACGCAGCCTTCACCTCGATGGCTTCTAGCTTAGCTTAGGAGGCTGGTCCACGTCAGCGGTTTTCCCGGACCCACGCAGGGTTTTACACCTGGAGACCCGTTTATAACCGCCACTATCCGGAGAGACCTCCAGTGACACACGGGGTTTCACACCCGGGTGACCGGGACATCCCTCCGGACGTCCTCCAATCCGCCACCTGGAGACGCGCCCGGTAAACAGCCCACGGGTTGGAGCAGATTAGTATTTCCGAAGTAAGTTCGGAAATAACTTTTACATATAATGACACTTTCTTAGAATATGACGGAATTCTTCTGGTACGACTACGTGAACCTTAATAAACTATTGAAGTTTATAATTAAATGTTCTTTTTATTAGGTGTACAACTTTGTTTCCGCCCTTCTTTTTCCGAAATTCGAGGCTTTATTGTAAAAAAGTGGTTATACATTTATGATTCAAAGTATTGTCCATCGCTGGCCACTACTTTCACCCATCTTTCGGGCAGCGTACGAATCCCGCATCGGAAAAATCTGGTCATCTTTTGAGGCGATCCACGAATCGATCCAATTCTTTACTTCTTCATAAGACCGTAAGTGCTGGTCAGCCAGGACGTGTGCCATTGATCGAAACAAGTGATAGTCAGACGGAGCCACGTCTGGAGAATACGGCGGGTGGGGTGGGACTTCCCATTTCAACGTTTTCAAGTATGTCTTGACCACTTTCGCAACATGGGGTCGAGCATTGTCATGCTGCAAAATCATTTTATCGTGTCTCTCGTTGTATTGCGTTTGCCTTCCAATGCTCGGCTCAAATGCATCAATTGCGTTCGATACCGATCGCCTGTGATTGTTTTAGTTGGTTTTAACAGCTCATAATACACCACGCCGAGTTGGTCCCACCAAATACAGAGCATGACCTTGGAGCCGTGAATACTTGGTTTGGCCGTCGACATGGAAGCATGGCCGGGAACTCCCCATGATTTTCTGCGCTTGGGGTTATCGTAATGAACCCATTTTCCGTCCCCAGTCACAATGCGATGCAGAAATCCCTTCCGTCTTTGCCTTTCAAGCAGCTGTTCACAAGTAAACAAACGCCGTTCAACATCTCTCGGCTTCAACTCGTACGGCACCCAATTTCTTTGGTTCTGAATGATTCCCATGGCTTTGAGGCGTTTTGAAATGGTTTGTTGAGTTACTCCCAATGATCGTGCCAATTCTTCTTGATTTTTACATGAGTCTTGATCAAGTAATACCTCCAGTTTTGCATCTTCAAAAACCTTCTCTCTTCCACCGCTATGCCGGTCTCCGACGTCAAAATCACCGTTCTTGAAGCGTTGAAACTACTCACGACACGTTCTTTCACTAATAGCGGCCTCACCATAAGTATTTGAGAGCATTCGATAAGCCTCAGCCGCAGATTTCTTCATATTGAAGCAGAAAATTAAAACCTCCCGCAAATGATGAGAATTTGGCTCGTAAACTGACATTTTCAATCGAGAATAACTTTATGATGCAGACACAAATCGACTAATGTTTCTATGGGATTATGTTGACAGATGCCCAAGTTTATTGTATGACGTCTATGATCTATTTATTTCGCCCACCACTTACCGCTAAAGCCATCTATAGGAAAACGGCGGAAGCAAAGTTGTACACCTAATATTTCACAACGCATGAGCATATAAAACTATACTAATTATATTAAAATTAATAATAATATAATTAACACTAAAGTATGTAATAAAAATTTTCTACCGCCGCCACTGTAGGCCAGGTCCACTACCACCGTCGCCGCCACCACTGCCGCAGCTTTCTGTAAGATGAAAATACTCATATAAATAAAAAATATATATATAAGATAGTATATACAAAATATTTAAAAAATATATATTTATAAAATCAAATATAATCAATTAACCTTACATTCCCACATTTCCTCTGAAAAGTCGGGTTCATACGATCGGAGACCGAAAAGTTCGGCGAGGAACAAATCGCCGTCGTCCCAAATATCCATAAATTCGACTCTGAACTCTCGCTCAGCTCGCCTCTCCGCGTGTATCATTTGTCTATTGAATATGTTCATAAATCCCCGGATGCGCACATTCCCGCGGTGTGTAGCCTGGAAAAAGGGAGTATGAAAGTGAATTAGAAAAAAGTATTGTTATTTATAATTTATAAAAATTACATTGTGTAATTTATAGATTATAATAAACTTACGAATGGGATCTTGAGGATTCCCAGCTCATTAGCTAGTTGCAGCCGGCAAATTCTTTCATTATCGACAACGATATACTGGAATAAGAACTGTAAATAAAATAAATTTTAAATAAAAATAAAAAAATTTCTAACATATAGATAAAAAGAAAAAACACTTACTCCATCCACCGGAAACTCGTATGTAATCTCCAAAAGATCCCAGCAGGTTGCTCATCGTTAATTCACACTGACACAACATTAAGGAAAAAATAAAAAAGTATGTATGACAAAAAAGCCTCGCCCATACACATTTATATACCATTGTCCCCATCGAACATGTTAACGGATGTGGTTTCTATCGAGGATACAAAACTGCATAAAAATAGATATCCTTATGAAAATTGAAATAACATCATGTGAAAGAGAACGCATCCGATAAGGATGTTGTACCCCAACAGGAATATATAAATACGCAAAAAAAACTGTGTAAAAGGAAATCACGATAGATTCTTATTTTAATATCTTTTTTATTAAACTAAGAATTAAAAAAACATGACAGTAAAAGTGTGTGTGTATGTGTGTAGTACAATCGAACGCATCGATACCGCGACGTTGGTACGAACGGGCGTTAGTGCGAGAGCGAGTGAACGGTGTCGATGCGAGTGAGAGAATAGTTATAATAACGGGTTCTGGATAATTTGCTGGCGAGGCGTGGGAAGCTCTCGACACCATCGGTGTTTACCGATATAAATCATACACGCCATGTTGTCAAATGTTCGTAAAAAATCTGGTCACGTGACATGTACTATTTAGTAACGTCACATTGATGATGTCACTGCGAAACATGTCGTGACATGTTGTGACTTGTCGCGGCATCTCCTTGAAAAATCTTTGATTACGCTAAATCTAGTCATGAGAGATCAAATCTTTTAATACGCATTCATCGATGCGAGCGAGAGCGAACGGGCGTTGGTGCGAGCGAGAGCGAACGGGCGTTGGTGCGAGCGAGAGCGAACGGGCGTTGGTGCGAGCGAGAGCGAACGGGCGTTGGTGCGAGCGAGAGCGAACGGGCGTTGGTGCGAGCGAGATCGAGCAAATAGTATAACGAGTTCTGGATAATTTGTCGGCGAGGGGCCACTCGTTGACACGGAAAGGGGGGGGGGGAGCTCATCGGTGCGAGCGAACAGGCGTAGGTGCAAACGGCGTTGGTATGAGAGAGACAGCGCGTGCGACAGTACACGCGGGAAAATAACGCGCGAACTCCCTCAGTCCAGTACACATTTGACTCCCGGCACCACGGAAAACTCGCCTTACCACTTTTACCCCCACCAAGCAGACACCTACTGGCGCCGAGTCGGCCAACTTCGCCGCTGCGCGAGAGCGAGCGAGACAGCGAGAGAGAGCGTCCGTCCTTCTCACCAGTGATGCACTTTTGGCTCCCCAGCAACACGGAATCCAGCCCCACCACTTGTACCCCCACCAAGCAGACACCTACCGGCATCGAGTCGGCCGTCTTCGCCGCTGCGCGAGAGTGAGCGAGACAGCGAGAGACAGCGCCCATCCTTCTCGCTCTACAAGCGAGTATCAGAGCGAAAAGGACGGCCGCTCTCTCCAGCTGTCTCGCTTCCTCTAGTATCGTAGTCGCTTGTTATAACCGATCGAAAACCGAAAATGTACTTTCTCGGCCGCTCGGCGTATTCCTGTACAGGGTATCCTGACCTTTTTTGCCAATCACTTTCGTGTCGATAGAGCAGACTAAACTGAGTCGAAAAGTCCTCTACCATTCTGCAATAGTTAACAAGATATTAATTACTAAAAATTGCAAAATATTGGTCTTGAATAATTTTTTACTCAAATACTATTAACTTTACAGGAAAACTGCAAGAGACAAAAATTATTTTCTTCTCATAAAGTTTTGAGAATTTTTTCAGAATTTTTTATCAACTTTTTAATACTGCATTTTCTTATTTTTACCAAAATGAGAAAATACGGTATTAAAGAATTCTAAAAAAATTCTGAAAAAATTCTCAGAACTTTATGAAAAGAAAATAAATAATTTATGTCTCTAGCAGTTTTTCTGTAAAGTTGATAGTATTTGAGTAAAAAATTATTCAGAACGAATATTTTGCGATTTTTAGTAATTTATATCTTTTTAACTATTTGCGAAAATTGTAAAATGGTAGAGGACTTTTGGACTCAGTTTAATCCGCTCTATCAACACAAAAGTGATTGGCAAAAAAGGTCGGTATACCCTGTACAGGAATACGCCGAGCGGCCGAGAAAGTACATTTTCGGTTTTCGATCGCTTATAACAAGCGACTACGATACTAGAGGAAGCAAGATAGCGAGAGAGAGAGAGCAGCCGTCCGTTTCGCTCTAATACTCGCTTGTAGAGCGAGAAGGACGGGCGCTGTCTCTCTGTGTCTCGCTCGCTCTCGCGCAGCGGCGAAGACGACCGACTCGATGCCGGTAGGTGTCTGCTTGGTGGAGGTACAAGTGGTGGGGCTGGTTTCCGTGTTGCCGGGGAGCCAAATGTGTATCACTACCTAGAACATGTGACAATCAACCCAAAACACGGGGTTAATTGTCATATTTTCGCAGCTTCATTTAAAATTAAATAACTTATTTTTATGATATGATGAATTCACGAGTAATATTTTTTTTAATAACTAAAGAATGTAGGTATATATTGTAACGTATATAATATTTTAAAATCAAGCATCCACTTTTCTAAAAATCAATAATCAAAAACTGTGACAATCGGCCCCGGTCTCCCCTACATACTCCAACCGTTTTTCAACCAAGATATAGCGTAATGTAATTTTTCTAGAAATAATATTTATTAATTATTTTAAATACCTAAATACACCAAGTTTCATAATTAATCGATTGAGCGCCAACATCTGGTTGCTATCGAAATCGATGATATTGAAACGCAATGTCTTCCTTGATAAAAGAGCCTCGATCGTTTATTCTTTTTTTGGAAGAGACATGACAATCAAACATGTTTTTTGCAATATGTTTCAAGGTTAATAGAAGTGTAAATGTATAAGTGAAAGTCGATAGAATTGTATTTTCATAAATTTTTATAAGAGTAGAGCGTTTTTTTTAAGCATACTTTAAAAATAAGCACATAATTCTCTACTCTGAAAAGAGGGAATTACAGACGAAAATAAATTCAGTCTGGAAATGTGTCAGATTATAGTACGTTGAAATTTACGAGAGCGAACTCGTCTTATTGTTAGTAAATCGTTGTAAACATGGATCGAGATTTCAGTCAAGGAGAGCGCGATCTGTTGAATCGATCCCACCAAATTGCTAACTTGAAGGAGTGTTTCGCGTGGATAAAAGTGTGCAATGAATTAATTAAACAGCTTGAAGAATGCAATCATGTCAAGCGTCCACGGCTCTCCCTTGGATGCCGACAATCTCTAATCGCTACAATTGCACGACTCGAGGGTACAGAGACTCAATTAGAAAGACGATTTCTGCATTTTGGTGATGATTACGCGAGCACTAGCAATAACAGTGCCAATAACTCGGAAAGATCTTTTGTTTGGCGAGAGATCGATCCGGCGTTTGAAAATCGAATTTTAACTGGTACGGTAATTAACGCGGACTATATCGAGCCGCGACGATTTTTAGAAGACATCAACAGTGTAGTGCTCGAGCGAGTGCAAGACACAATAGAAAGACACAACTGTATAAAAGTGAACACTATATTTAACGGCGAATTTGCGACGGGCGATAAACGTGCCAATAAAAGTATTAATACTAAAAACTATGAACTCTTTCAAACATCGAACTTGCGTGAGTGGTATGAGAGATACGTCATCGAACCGACATTGACATCTCTCGAGGAGTTTCAAGAACGTGACAGTGGGTGGGCGTTGTCGCGAATCATGAATCTTACAATAAACTTCAATAAGTGTAATCCATTGCGCGCGGGATGTCGCTTCGAAGTGCCGCGAGAGATAATGACAAAGAGAGCGGTGATTAACGTGGGATCGATGGACAATGCATGCTTCGCGTGGTCGGTGGTCGCCGCTCTGTACCCAGCCGAAAGAAACACGGATCGCGAATCTTCCTATCCAGACCGGAGGTGTTACGACCGCCTTTTGCGCCCCATCGCAAGGATTGCTAAGTCCCTGAAGCACCAATCCCCCGCCTATTGCAACGAACCAACAACTAAAAAAAAGGAATTTCCATCAATTTACATAACACAAGAATACGAATACAATAAAGGAGGGAGTGTAAAAATGGTCAAAATTGGCCCTGAATGGACACCTTTAAAACCTATGCAGTTGTCATTTTAAAAGTCCGTACATTCATGAAAAAATGCTTATTTATCCAGGAGAGCTTGGGAAACCTTCCAAAAATAATAAAATAGGTCGTTTAAACGCTCTGCAAAGGAATTCATTTTACCAAACATCAATCCATCCTTGTGTAGGTAAACGCCGTACACGTGATCTATACCGCTCTCTTTATCTTGCGCTCCCCGCAGGACAGCCTCGACGTATTTTTGACCCAACGGGTCCAAGCTGGCTCGCAACGCCTCTCGACCTTCCAACGTTTGCAGCTGATTTTGAATCTTCGTCGCTAGCGAGTCTTCCGTCGTTTCGAAAAGTTCTCCAACGACTCTATCGTCGGTACGATTTTGGCACGCAGGGTGGAGGTTATCGGTTCGGGCGATCAATCATCGGATTTATGCAGAGTTAAATCTAGGTGGAAGAAAAAAGAATTTATTTCTAATTATACTTATAATAATTTAAATGTGAGCGAGGGTGTGTTACCTGGAGCTTATGGACTTCCTAAAATCCATAAACCAGGTACACCCCTTAGAATTATTATCTCAGCGATGGAGAGTCCACTCTACCCTTTGGCATCTTTTTTACACAAAATAATTTACAAGGTGAGCAGCAATTCCTCCAGTCACATAAAAAATAGTTTTCATTTGACCAGCGTTCTGAGAGAGACTAAGTTTGATAGTGATTTTATTTTGATCTCACTTGACGTGATTTCTCTTTTCACCAATATACCGCTTGAATTAGCTCTGGACAGCATTTCTCATAGATGGCCTCTGATTTCAAATATTACGAACATAACTAAAGAAGAATTTAACGTCGCTCTAAGACTCGTGTTTAACTCGGCTTTCTTCTCTTTTGATAGGGTCATTTACAGACAAAAATTTGGAATGCCTATGGGTTCACCTCTGTCTCCAGTGATCGCTGACATTGTTCTACAAGACCTGGAAAGGAAAGCTTTAGATACTCTAGGTTTTCATATCCCGTTCTATGTCCGATATGTGGACGATATCGCCATGGGGATCCCTTGTGAAAAGACCTCAGAAATTTTAAATATATTTAACTCGTTCCACCCTAGGTTACAGTTTACGATGGAGATAGGTGGCAGCGAACTGAATTTCTTGGACATTACCATTATTAAAAACAATGAGCGATTGGAATTTGATTGGTATCATAAGCCAACATTTTCCGGTAAATACCTAAATTTTTTGTCAGAACATCCTCTTTCACAGAAGAAGGGCATGGTTATGGGAATGGTTGATAGAGCTTTCCTATTATCAGTTCCTAAATATCACAAAAAGAATTTAATTTTTGTTATAGAGACACTTTTAAACAATGACTATCCGATGGATTTTATATTTAATGTAATAAGTGAACGTCTTAAATCTTTGTTACATGGGAAAACGTTGAAACAAAATATTGAAAACGAATTTTGTACAGATGACACAAGAAAGATGTAGTTCTCGTTTCCTTATGTGACGAAGGTTTCGGACAAATTTAGAGATATAATTAAGGATTTTAACGTCAATCTTGCGTTCTTCAGTCTTAATAAACTCAATTGTTTTATAAAAACACATAAAGATCCAGTGCCTAATTTGGCAAAGAGAAATGTAGTGTATAAGATTAACTGCAATGATTGCGACGCATCATACGTCGGGCAGACAAAAAGAACAGTGAAGACGAGAATCACAGAACACAGAAATGATATTCGAAAAACTAATAGCAATCATTCAGTTATCACTGAGCATAGATTGAATTTTAACCATGATTTTGATTGGGACAAGGTGGAAATTGTTGATAATGAACGATTTTTATACAAACGACGAATTGCCGAAATGGTTCACATACAATTACAGAAGAATGGTTTGAATTCACAGTCCGACACCGAATTTTTACATCATGCATACATATCGATTCTTAATGATCTAAATTGAATATTGGCATTAGTATGTTACCTGCCTTTATCTTTTGTTGTCTATGCTTGGTGTGAATCTACATGTTGTGTTTCTTGACTTGTTCAATATGTAATTTCGTGAAGGGTGACTTACGTATGTTTCATGCTTGTATTCAAACGCTTTTCGTTTTGACTTATTCGCTTGTCGATCACTAGTCTGTTAACATGACATACCACGTTTCTCGATATAATTTGATTTAAAATTTATTTAATAATAACACACTGGAAAAATTTTTACTTATTGTTGACGGTTGTTAAATTTTGCGGTATTTGTTGTTAATTTGGATGATTTGTACATGGCTATGCGGGTGAGTGATTCATTGGTAATTTATAAAAAAATTTTTTTATTGACATATCGTGGTAAAAATTATTTTTCTTCACACAGAATACATCTGTGATCGTTGCCACTAGCTTTAACAATCTTGTGTCACGATTTGAAGAAGATGGAACGAGTGGTCACTCTCTAGTCTAGCTATGAAAATTAATATGACTGTATAGTTCGGATACATTGAAGATGGCTCGAAGGAAGGCCGAAACGTCTGAACAGAGTAATATGGAATAAATTCTTAACTCATCGCAAACGTCTACAGCGAATTTACTCTCATTAGCCCTTGATTATTTTCTTGTTTATGCAGAGTCGCGGAAGGTTCGAACATCTCGCTCGCTTCTTCTCCCTCCTCTTGTTCCTCTTCCTCCTCCTTCCTCTCACGTTTAGGGACAGACGCTGCATCTTCGTCGCGTGACTCTCTCTTTGTCGCGTGCTCGCCGAGACTGTCAACGAAAAATCACAGCGGCTCGATAAGAGGTTTAAAATGTCTATCCAACGCGATGCTCTCCTCGACTCTACCAGAGCGCGATGTTTCTTGCGAATCGACTCGCTCGTCTTCTCGATCTCCCTCACGATTTTTTCAAGCTCGCGCACATCTGCCATGTTCGTCTGTGGCTAAGTATCGACTAGTCACGTTACGGTATGGCGAACTCGATAAGTCCTTTTCTGTATCGTCCATTTGTCAGCGCATTGTCTTCGTCTATCACTACCAAACCATATTTTTGTTGTCAACAGTCTGCACAACGTGTAAAATTCGTCATACGACATGTCGGTATTCACATGATCGTTGTAAACGTGTTTCGAATTGATACCGTCCTGTTTGAACAGCAAGTCCGCGTTATCGCGTATCAGATGTTTAGGTATTCTCGCATACGTCTGACAGAGATAGAAGCAGTCGACGTTCGCGTGACGGCCCATCGAAAAGTATTCTCTCACCGCATCCTGCTTGTCGCATGTCACGTTATCAAAGATAACAATAGAATTTGGACGCGCCTCGCACGGTGGAACGTCACTGTTGTTGGAGAACGTAAAGTAACCGATTTCGTCAATAAATGTAAACAAATTTTCGAGATATTGATACTTTAGCTGTTGCAACGATTTCGAGTAGACGTATACGTTCTCGAAACGTACGCCGTTCGAACTCTCTAGTAAGCTTATGAGAACGTTGGTTTTACTGCAATTCGATGGGCCGCAAATGATCGCGCGTATAGTATTCGGCAGCATTTCGCCGTGCTTGCGCTTCTCCACGGCGCTTCCCATTATTAGCGATTTCGCGTCGCAGTTCGCGACGCGTATCGCCAGCGGTTACAACACGAATTTCATGCTCGCACCAGTGATGCACATTTGGCTACCCGGCAACACGGAAACCAGCCCCACCACTTGTACCCCCACCAAGACACCTACCGGCACCGAGTTGGCTGTCTTCGCCGCGACAGCGAGGGAGACAGCGAGAGACAGCGCCCGTCCTTCTCGCTCTACAAGCGAGTATTAGAGCGAAAAGGACGGTCGCTCTCTCTCGCTGTCTCGCTTCCTCTAGTATCGTAGCCGCATGTTATAAGCGACCGAAAACCGAAAATGTACTTTCTCGGCCGCTCGTATTCCTGTACAGGGTATCCCGACCTTTTTTACCAATCACTTTTGTGTAGATAGAGCGGATTAAATTCAGTCGAAAAGTCCTCTACCATTTTGCAATTTTCGCAATAGTTAACAAGATATTAATTACTAAAAATTGCAACATATTGGTCTTGAATAATTTTTTACTCTAATACTATCAACTTTACAGAAAAACTGCAAGAGACCAAAATTATTTATTTTCTTCTCATAAAGTTCTGAGAATTTTTTCAGAATTTTTTAATACCGTATTTTCTTATGTTGATAAAAATAAGAAAATGCAGTATTAAAAAGTTGATAACAAATTCGAAAAAAATTCTCAAAACTTTATGAGCAGAAAATCAATAATTTTTGTCTCTTGCAGTTTTTCTGTAAAGTTGATAGTATTTGAGTAAAAAATTATTCAAAACCAATATTTTGCAATTTTTAGTAATTAATATCTTGTTAACTATTGCGAAAATTGCAAAATGGTAGAGGACTTTTCGACTCAGTTTAATCCGCTCTATCAACACAAAAGTGATTGTCAAGAAAGGTCGGGATACCCTGTACAGGAATACGCCAAGCGGCCGAGAAAATACGTTTTCGGTTTTCAATCGCTTATAAAAGCCATGGCACATAAAAAAATTTAAGGCGTAAGACTTAAGCAGTAAGCGAATCGACCAATCACAATAGAGACCGTAAGACCATACATAAGCAATAGCCAATCCAACATGTTGATTTCGTTACTGCTTACGTCTTACATCTTAAGTTTTGTGCCAAGTCCTTAACAAGCGACTGCTATACTAGAGGAAGCGAGACAGCGAGAAAGAGCGGCCATCCTTTCCGCTCTAATCCTCGCTTGTAGAGCGAGAAGGACGGGCGTTGTCTCTCGCTGTCTCGCTCGCTCTCGCGGCGAAGCAGTGGTGCACATTTGGCTCCCCGGCAACACGAGAATCATCCCCACCACTCTCGCTGTCTCGCTCGCTCTCGCGCAGCGGCTTCGCGAGAGGGAGCGAGACAGCGAGAGTGGTGGGGAGGAATTTCAGGGTATAAGTGGTGGGGCTGGTTTCCGTGTTACCAGGGAGCCAAATGTGCAGCACTGACGTGTAGTGTTGCACGATCGCACCAATTAATTGGCAAGGCTGCTGCTGACTATAATCGCAACATTTTTATCTTCTGTTTTGTGGATTGTGTTTTTAATGCGATTCTCCACCATGATTTTGCAATAAACGTTTTTTCTCAACGTAAGAGGGATTGAGTCGAAGTACTAAGAACTTCAAGTTAGCTTGGAACGCGTTCGTGTTCCAAGTGAAGCAGTTAACTGAGTTCTGAAGAACCATTCGTCCGAGGCGGACGCGTATTAGGCGCAATCCTAGCCTAACGTTCGCACTGCACATTGTGACAAAACAACTACCACAAAATTGAAAAGGATTGAAGAATTTTTCTGTTCTTCTGTCATTTTGTAAGTGTTATATTTTAACTGCATGACTAAATTGAATAATTTTCACGTCTCATTCTCTTTGGGTGCATTCCATTTCACGCATGATGATGTGCATAATGCATTTATTCTTGTTTAACATTCGGTGCGTAACAAGGATAAATGATGCACATCGTGCATGAAACGGAACGCAGCCTTTATATTGTACATTCCGAAAGATTCTGTAAGTAGATTTCTTCACGCGCTTTAGCAAAATTGCGTCCGATAAATAATTTTTGCGCTTTTTTTTTGTTAACTTCAACTTGCTCTCCTGTAAAAACTACTAATGAACATAATTTTACTAAAGGAAAAAGTCATTTTTTGTGCTAAAACGAACAACTTTTTCCTATAGTAAACATAGACTTATAAGAGGGGTGATCCCGATTGATCACGGCTCGATTAGACACCACCAATCACAGCGACCAGGTGCCTAGGAGCTTTGTAGTCCCAAGCGCTGTGAGTGGCTCGTGTCAAATTGAGCCGTGTCCAACTGGGTGCCACCCCTTATAAGATAGACGGAGCGTTCATGAGAGGAGCTGAAGATAACATTGAAGGACAGCTCTACTCCAGACATAGTTGTTTCCCTCTTTCATAGTGAGCGGTGGGGGACCAAATAGTTTGAGCGTAAGGCCACAATTCTCGAACGTCTACCTTTATTGCTCTCGGCCACTTCCCGGCCTGCCGCGGCAAACAATCAATTCACTACTAGAACAGAAGAGAACTACTCCGCGACTGTTTCTTTCTCTTTCTATCACGTCTTCAGCTTCTCTCGTACGAATGCTCCGTATATCTTATAAGTCTATGGTAGTAAAATTACATTCGATAAATAATTGTTGCGTTTACTTGTATAACTTCAACGTGCTTTCCTGTAAAAACTACCATTGTATGTATACAGAATATCCCAGAATAATCGCTAAATATTTCATGTGCTGGTAGAGCGGACTAGACTGAGTCGAAAAATCCTATACTATTTAGCAATTTTCGCAATTATTAACAAGATATTAATTACTAAAAATTGCCGAAAATTGATTTTCAATCATTTTTTACTCAAATACTATCAACTTTACAGAAAAACTACAAAAGATAAAAATCGTTTATTTTCTTCTCATAAAGAGGTAAGAAATTTTTCAGAATTTTTTCAGAATTTTTTAATATCATATTTTCTTATATTGGTAAAAAATAACAAAATGCAGTACTAAAAAGTTGATAAAAAATTATGAAAAAATTCTTATATATATATACAGAGTGTCCGAAAAGTGTGGAAACGGTCGAATATCTCGAGAAATACACACCGAATCAGAAATCTGAAAATATACGTATTCAATGTTTTCAAAAAAGCTATCTTTTGACATATAACATGACCCCCCACCCCCACCCGCTGTGGGTGAAAGAGAGGGTAAGTTTAAAATTTTAAATGGGAAACCCCATTTTTTATTGCAGATTTCGCTTCTTCAGAAAAAGCTACATAAATTTTACAATTACAAACATTTTTTTGATGACAGATGGCGCTGTAATAAGCGAAATTAAAAAATGAGTCTAAAACGTTTAAAATATCTCAAGAAATACTCAAAGTGTTTAAAGTTATAACGTGGTTACAATATAAAGGTTACAAAGATCAAAGGCATACACCACAATCGCCTGCTGTTAATGGCTAACAAGTAATTTTTGTTTATTAATTTCTAGAATACATTTAATAAACGTTTCGGTCCCAAATTGGACCTTCCTCAGTATTACATAAATTATTGATTACCCTTATCACGCAAAACGACTTATATTTAAATAGAAACAATTATGTTGATTAGTACGTATACAGCTCACCATATATATTTGTTAAATAAAATTTCGTCTGATGCTTTAATTGTAATATTTCATACGATTTCATGTGACATCAAATTCCGGAGATTGCTCGTAGACAAGAGTGACAAAATTTTGATCTCCATCAAGCCAACGCAAAAGTGCCTTGTTCTGTGTACATTACGTGTATTATACTTAAATTTGAATTTAGTGGTCAACAATAACATTACTGAATTTCATTATAGTCAATTACAAGACTTAATTCCGTTTATATAATTTTATACGCACTTCTTTTTAACAAGAGATCAGATAAATGAATTGTGACAATTCAAATTTAAAATTATT